GAAAGATTCAATACTATAAAGGTGTCGGCTTACCTCATAGTTTTATATAAAACTTAAATACAATCTTTTAAGATATCACTTTGGAATTTCAATTAACAACTTATAATTATAAGTCTAAAATAAATTTTAGACAAGTATGTAAACACCTTAAAGAACAATTATGAATGTGATCCTGTAATACTTACTGCCCACACTTTAAGATACTGTAAAGCTACAGTGATTGATACAGCAGAAGACTAACAAAAGTTTAAATAAAAAGATCAATGGGAATAGAACAAAAAACTGAGAAATGGTTTCAAATATGCAATCAGTATGCAGTAAAAGATGTTATGTCAAGTCAGAAGTGATAAGATGAGCTATTTAATAAATGATACAGAAATATTTGGTTAACTGCCTGAGAAAAACGATTAAGTTGTACCTCTATATGAAATTATACATCAACATACATTCAAGAGGAATTAAAGAGTTAAATGTATAGTAATCTAAAAAAATGAAAGAAAATACACAAAATATTTTATCTAATCTCAAAGTGGGTGAAGCCATTCTAAACAAACCCCCAACAGAAAAAAAAAAAGAAAAAAAAAAGAGGGAAAGACTGGACAACAAAACCATAAAGTAAAGAAAATAACAAAATGTAACATATTACAGATAAAGACTAACACCATTAAAATATACAAGGTGGGGCAAAAGTAAGTTTACAGTTATGAGCACATGAAACTTAATTCTTGTATTGTTATGTATTAATTATTGTATTGTTTTCCATATAAACAACTGTAAATCTAATTTTGCCCCACCCTGTACATTAAGAGTTACAAAACCACAATAACTAGACAAATCCTTTAAAGGAAAATGGGCACACAACATAAATAGGCAATTCACAAATGAAGAGATATTTAATATAAATAAATGTATGTAAAACTATTCAGTCTCAATGATAAGGCAGTTCAAAATAATTCAGCAATAATATGTTATTTTCTTCTATCAAACTGGCAAGAACTTTTTAGTTAATAAAACTGCTATTGAGGGTAAGGGCAAAATACTTGCAGACACTACTAGTGAGAGCACAGAATACTATATGCTTTCTGAAAGACAGTGTGGCAATAGGTAGCAAAAGCCTTTAAAGAAAGAACAACTCTTTGACCCAAGAGTTTCACTTTTTAGTAGTATATTCATTCCAAGAAAATAGTCACTAGTTAGTACTGAAAAATATTAAAAAGTTATCCATGCTCAAGGTTTTCTTTATAATGACAAATGATAAAAACAACTGAAATATTGAATAAAAGACTCAGTTAAATTATGAGAACCCCACTTTATGCAATTTTCTTTTTTTTTAATATATTTTTTATTGATTTTTTACAGAGAGGAAGGGAGAGAGATAGAGAGCCAGAAACATCGATGAGAGAGAAACATCAATCAGCTGCCTCCTGCACACCCCCCACTGGGGATGTGCCCGCAACCAAGGTACTTGCCCTTGACCGGAATCGAACCCGGGACCTGTCAGTCCACAGGCCGATGCTCTATCCACTAAGTCAAACCAGTTAGGGCTATGTAATTTTTCTTGCAAAAAAAAAAAAACCCTAATCACAGGGAAATTCACAATATATCTTTAGGTGGGAAAGACAGACTACAAAAGAATAAATATTAAAAAGGTTGTTCTGATTTTAAGAAAAATTTTAACATGAATATACATAAATTAAAATAGAAAGGATATTCAATATATTACAGGTAGAATTAAAAGACAATTTTAATTTCTTTTGGGTTTCTATACTTTTTACAATAAGTATAAATTTTATAATGAGAGAAAAATAGTGAGTTAGTAAAAATCCACAATGATTGAGATATATAAATACTGACAACCCACAATAGTATGTGTTTCTTGGAAATAGTATTCAGATCACTTTGACACTGCAGAATAATTATAGCTAATTTAGGTGGATAATAACTGGCCTGATCTCACCTAGACTAAAACTGTACATTGAGTTGTAGCAGTGATTGGATCACTCTATGAACACTACTTTAATTTTTTCATTTTTATTATATTATTGTTATATTTTCTGTATAATTTTATGGTGACAAAATATTAAGATGTAAGAAGAGACCATTAAGTAGACTAAATCAAAATGAAAAATTTAATAAGAATCTTATCTTCTATGCTCATAAAACTGAGAGTAGCACACAAATGACAGTTCACCTCATATAGACTCCAGAAAGAAAAATGTTAAAGAATTTGAAAACCCTAACTTTTCAAACGTGTTTCACTTTCAAGATTTATGTATTTGGAATATCTGAGACTAGTACAATTTTTATATTTTAAATTCATAATTAGAATTAAAAATAAAGTAAGATGGGAAGTGGGGGCAGGGGAGAGAAGATAACCTGATGCTATAAACATGATGCTTCATCATCCTATCTAATAAAAAAGTAATTTGCAAATTGACCATCACTCCAACACACAAGATGGCCACCCCCATGTGGTCAAAGATGGCTGCCCCCATGTGGACACAAGATGGCCGGCAGGGGAGGGCCGTTGGGAGGGACTAGGCATGAAAGGAAGGGCAGTTGGGGGCGACCAGGCCTGCAGGGGATAACAGTTGGGAGGGACCCAGGTCTGCAGGGGAGAACAGTTTTGGGGGGACCAGGCCATCAGGGGAGAGCAGTTAGGGGTGACCAGGCTGGCAGGGGAGGGTAGTTAGGGGCAATCAGGCCAGCAGGGTAGGACAATTAGGGGCAATCAGGCCAGCAGAGGAGGACAGTTAGGGGCAATCAGGCAAGCAGAGAAGGGCAGTTGGGGGCAACCAGGCCTGCAGGGGAGGGCAGTTAGGGGCAACCAGGCTGGTAGGGGAGGGCAGTTAGGGGCGACCAGGCTGGCAGGGGAGGACAGTTAGGGGCGACCAGGCCAGCAGGAGAGGGCAGTTGGGAGCACCAGGCTGGCAGGGGAGGGCAGTTAGTGGTGACCAGGCCAGCAGGGGAGGGCAGTTGGGGGCAACCCAGGCCTGCAGGGGAGGGCAGTTAGGGGCAATTGGGCTGGCAGGGGAGTGGTTAGGAGGTGATCAGGCTGGCAGGCAGAAGTGGTTAGGGGCAATCAGGCAGGCAGGCAGGCAGGCGAGCGGTTGGGAGCCAGGAGTCCTGGATTGTGAGAGGGATGTCCCAGATTGGAGAGGGTGCAGGCTGGGCTGAGGGACACACACACACACACACACACACACACACACACACACACCTGTGCATGAATTTCGTGCATCAGGCCTCTAGTAACATAATAAAATGTTAGCTTCCACATTACTGAGAGAAAGCAAGACCCCCATCACTCATGCTGGCAAAAGCTTGACTTTGCATAAACCATTTCCGTTCTCACTGTTATAAAACCAATGACTTTGGGAAGGGAAGAAAACACAGAATGACGTGCAAAGTAGCACACACCATGTTATAGCAGCTGGATAAAGAATATGTCACTCAGGGACTATTAGGTGGTAAAAGCCTGGGGCAAGGGAGGGAGCGAGCTGGAGGGGGTTAATGGGGAAAAAGGGGGACATATGTAATACTTTCAACAATAAAGTTAAAATAAAGTTATATGAAATTTAAAAAATAAAAATATAAAAAATGAAAGTACAAAAAAAAAGAATATGTCACTAATGACTTTCTTTCTACCCCTCAGTTAAACGTTGAGGGTTTGTTTCCAAAATGGCAAGCAAGTGGCCTTCATAAGTAAAAAGCAGAAGCAGTGAAATTCAAAATACTATTAAATTTCTACTTGATTTTGATACTGCATTAGATAATGGAATGAGTTATTAATTATTCATTGGGAGATGACTTCCTTTTCTCTTCATTTGAGAAGAACATAAGATGTCTGAACCCTAGGCAATTTTCTATACTAAATTCAAAATAAAATTTTAATCAGATAACTATTGCCAAATGTTCACCTTAAATGAGATATTTATTATCCATGACCAATAGGAAGATTAACCTGAAGCTGTTTGGAAATTCAGAAACATAATCTAATAAACTGCCCAAATTGTTAGTGCAAGTGACAGTAATGACTTTCTGTAAGGAACAACTTACAGAATTAATTAATGACTTAGGATTTTATTCATGATAGCAAAAATTAATAATACAGTACTTCATTTCCTTAAAGAAATCAACAAGAGAGTTAGGTTAGTTCTGTAATGTATTGATTGGGATTGTCCACTTCTTAACATGTAATAACATCAATCACATAACTTCAAAAATTAAGATATCCATCATCATCAGGGTAAAAGGTTATGAAATTTTAAATCCTGTGAAATCTGTTTAAGATTAATCAACCTATCAACATATGGGCATGTTAATAATAACAATGACTAAAACTTACTCTCATGAGTCCTTTCTTAAGTGCCAGGTAAAATGCTAAAAGTTTACATGTATTAATTCTCTTAAGGAGCCTATGAGGTAGATACTATTATTATCCCCATTTTAGATCCTAGGAATTCAAAACATAAAGAAGACAGTGACTTGCCCAAAGTCAATTATCTAGTAAATGGCAGGGCCAGGATTTGAACCAGTACACAGGCCTCAGAACCCACCCATAAACCATTATGTACAGCAAATTCTATAAACTCTTTTTTTATAGGTGCTACAGTTGACCCTTTCAAAGTATTGACTTAGATTCATAAATAAAGCTATTACATTATGACTTAAGAGGAAAGACTAAAATTGTATTTAATTTAATTTGTTCATCATCTTTGATATGACATTTTTTATTTTAATACTTTTTAGTTAAGTAAATTAAAAACAATTTATCCTATCATCTATATGTTATAGAATAATAAAAAGAGAGGCCAAAAATTTCATTCTGTAAACATTAAAAAGAATAAAAGTTCAAGGACATACTATACATTTACCTCTCATACATTAACAAATATTAGAAGTAAGAAATTAATGTTAGGGTACAGACGATCAGCAAATGTATTGTTATACAAAATAACATCTCCACATTGATTTATTTTATATTTTATATATTGTACCTTTAATTTCTCCAAGAAGTTCACTGGTATTTAGTCTTTCCATTTTTTCCTTCCAATCTTTTGATAGTAGTTTTTCCATGCAAGAGGAATCTGTTAAAATAAAAAAAGTAAGGATTCAAGATATTACATATATTTTTCATTTTATAAGTATTAAAATATTACAAATCCAAAAAGCTAGTTTATGAAGAAACTCTATCACTTAAAAATGATCAAAGCTATTTTTTGTTGTTTTAACCTTAGGATATAAACAATTATATTACTGTATTATAAAATAACACAACTAATTTTTTACCAGATTATTTAAACTATTCCTAAGAATATAATGCTCAATAAACTTGTATTGGTATTACAATTATAATTATATCAATATTCAGTCAGCATTTAGCATTTCTTAGACTGATAAGACAGAACAAGGGGCCCTTTTCTACAGGTTTAAGTTTAGAAAATATTCCTTTTAATCCAGGTGATTATGTTTTAATTCCAAGCAAAATTCATGTGCTACTCACAGAAGAATGACAATTCTTAAAGGGAGAAAACATCAATCAACCTGTAACCATGTGTTCTTAAAAAAAAATACAGCAACTTTCATAAAATACCCATTTATGGCAAAATGCAAAGAAAATAAAGTCCATATAATGAAAACTGCTACTACCATTCTCTTGTATAAAAAGAGAAGTATATATTCTCTTCAAGAAAATACTTATTTAAACATTTTTCCCTGCTGCATTTCTAAGTAGCACACTAGATTACAGGGAGTGATTACACTTGTTTCTATAAAGATTCATAAAGGTTACAGAAATTTAAACCAGAATATTCTAATAATTAGCACATTTTCCTCAATGCGCTCTTTTATCTCTATACTCAGATGAATCTGAAACTGACGCTACTGCTTGCAACTATTTACATGTATCTTTTGAGCCTCAAATCTTAACAAATAAGACATATTTCCAAAAGAGAATGCAGACTTAAATACTAAACCTTAGTGTGAAGCATACTCCCATTAAACTTTAACATTCCAAGTGTCAAATTCTGATAACTTCTTTTTAAATTATATTTAAATTGTTACTTGGTATCCAAATGCTTCTCCTCTCCCTATCAGTACCTTTCTCTTTAGCATTTTTTCCTTTCTTTTTTTTTTCTTCCAACTTCTAAATCCTCCTTGAATTTTTCAGAATGACAGTAAGGTCAAGATGGATCTAAAGGGTTTTAGAAACTAGATAAGCTTTAGAAAAAGACAGCAAGCCCGGGGTTAGAGATGAGAAGACTACTGCACAATTAGAACGTATTGGCAAAAACAATTAACATTTGTTCATGACATGATCAATCAATCAAGGAATGGATGGAATCCAGATCAGTGCATCCTGAAATGCCTGATGAAGAACAACAGTACTAGCGTGCTATCACAGAAGCTAAAGTTCTTTCTAAATAGAAGCCAGCTTGATTCTATTAAGAGAAAGCTCCCTGCCCCTTCCTTTACTTCTTCCCTTCTTTACTTCCCTCCTTCTTCCTTTCCATTCTTTCCCATTAAAATTGTCTTAGGCTTCAACGAGTGACCTACCGCTGTGATTAAAAACTGGATTCTGAGTGACCTTCCAATAGGGCCTACATGCATACCCATATGTTCAGTCTGTATTTAATTTCCAAAATGGTTTCTTGCTACATTTATTTTTAAATTCAGAAACAAGATGTGTACTTTGGTCTATACATATTTTGTATTTTTGCTGAAGTCATAAAAAAGATAACACTGAGTCTTGAAAATTATGAAGCCAATCTTCAAAGCCGTGCCTATCAGAGATTACATTTTGCAAATAGGGTTTAAATGTCTGAGATATATTGATATAACATCAGATCATGGATAAGAATAGTCAACACAACATGTTCAACTTTCTATCCTACCCAGTTCTGTTACTTTTTTTTATTGCCCTTTCATACATGTTATAACAATACACTAAACTGCTAATCACTGATACAAATGCTAAAACATAACTTGTTTGATTAAAATTTGAGTTGAGAGCATATATTGTAATCGTAAAAGACAAAAGCCCAATTTTCTAGTAATGATCACAAACTCACAGCAAGTTCATAAACTAGTATTAGAAACACAATAAATGTAAAACATAAAAATATGTCTCTCATTTCTATAAATAGACCTGAAATCTTTCTGAGCTCCAGGAAAAGAATGCTTAAACTCCATGGGAGAAAAATAGAACTATATGGACAACAGGAAAACACACTTCCAACATAAATCAAACCATGTGGACACAGCTTTACATAAAAGCTACTCATTAATAAAATGGTTAATAACTTCAAAGCATTTCACATTCCTGTTGGAAAATTAATTCTCACTATAATGATAAATTAATCTAGCCATATAGTTCCTGTTTCAGTAGAAGAAGCTGAGGGGGGACATAAAGCAGCCTTTGCATAACTCTATTATAGTTCATGAAAATATGTAATAACAACTACTGATGGCCTTTATCTATAGGACAAGACATACAACTCACTAAATAAAACCTTATCAGCATTTAATCTCAATGCACAGAGATTCTAGAGAGATTCAAAACACTGAAGAATCTCTTGACAAACTCCCAGCTTCTCACCTAATTATCTGACTGCCAAACTTCTAAGAGCTACCACAATTAGTACTAAGCTCACTCCATACTGTAATGGAAAGCCAAAGAGGAAGGGATAAAAGGACCAAAAAATTCAGGTTGTTAACAAATACTACCTAAGCAGAGGACTGTCACCACCGAGAGGTTTCTGACTTGAAATGAGGAAATGTGTAATAAACATATACATAAAAACTTATTTTAATTTTTAAATAGTTTATATTTTAAAAATTTAAGATTCCCCACTCAAACAATATCCAGGTAAGGGTGGAAATTAAAAGTAAGTATTCATCTCCTTGTACTACATGCTTCACTACATTAATAGGACACCAGCTTTACAGAGGCAATTGGTCAGATCAGACTTTGCCCCAAGTACAGATGCAAAATCCTAAGAGGTCAAATACGTAAAGAGCTCCAGTTTGCATCGTGTAAGAGTAGGAAGGAGCATGCAGAGTGGCTGTAGCTCACCAGTCAGTCAGGGTTCCAAATGGCAGAAAGGTACTGAACATCACCCAGATATTCTTGGATTATTTATTCAGATAAATGTGCTTTACATGATTAAATTGAAAGCAGCTAAAAAAATGTATGGTGGTGCCATAGTCCTCAAATCAATAAGACAATATACAGCTTATTTCATGATCTAACTTTGACTATTCAAATTTCAGTGTTTTGACTGAGTTGTCTTCAGCTAAGACATAGGAGAGGAGCTATATACCTTTTGGAAATTAAGATAAAGAACTGTAACATTATGGTATTTAAAAAAGTCACCATAATATGTACATATTAAAAATGAATGTAAGCTACACCTCAGTATAAAAGTGGAAAATGTCAAATTTAATTCATCTTACTTTGAAAGAATTAGCCTCCAAAGCCAATACATAGTCAATAAAATACAGAATTTTATTATATTTATCTCATTTTTGTAAATAAAGTATTTAAAAAGGACTATGGAAAATCAAGAGCTGGACCTGGGATTTCCCTTATATTTAAATCAAAGATGTAAAAGGTTTTGATACATTATAAATTAATTTTCAGTTGCATAGCTTTTGTTTGTTTTTTTTTCTTTTTCTTTGCAAATTTAAATTTTTAAAGAAACTTTTCCTAGGGAACAAGGAAAGGCAATTCAGAACTAATTTTTCATAAATATCCTGCATAACGATTGCAAAGCAATGTTTCTGCTTCCTAATCAACTAGGTTTCAGTCCATATGGGTCAAGAGTGCTTTTCATGCTAATAATTAATTTTACAGTACAAGAGAAATTCAAAGTGAAAGTATGTGGGATATTTATTTTCTAATCTGTGTAGTATTTTAAAAACAATTTAAAATGATTTCTAGTAAACAAAGTCGAGGCCGTATTAACACTTATTCTGCACAAAATAAAGATATTTCAAGTGGGTCAAAGAGAGTACATTTTTTTAAAAATCATCACTAAAACTAAATCATGGGGAATAGAAAAAAATGGAAAAAATCATTGTACTTTAAAACAACTGACCTGTGAGCAACCACTTATTATTCCATTTACCTCAAATGCTAAGCCATTAGAAACATGATATAGAAAATATCTTTAAAGTATTTTAGTGAGAAAAAATAATGGCTGCTGCTCCTCTGTGCAGATTTCCTACTGCTTTATTAACTCTTTTAAGAAAATATTGAAACAATTCATTTATTTTTACCATAGGAATTATACATTTCAAACGCAATAATTTTTCTCTGTATCCAAGAATAATAACTTGTCAAAAGTACCCTTGACCTTGGTTTACAAGTAATCTGACAATATATATTTATATCCTTGCTGATCATCCCATCCCACATTTTTCCTTAGGAAACAGAGATGCACAAGCCAGTTACTGTACATATTTCCACAGTGATAAGTGCTTCAGAATACAGTGGGATAAAATTGGAGCTTGGAGAGCTTGAAGAGCACTCTTAAATTTTAATTAAAACCCTCCAAGCTCACTAAAAATAATTAGACACTAAAATGTGCCAGTTTTATTTTGAAGTCACGATAACGTATAAAGCACACTCCCTGACAACTGCTTGTGCTCTCCTCTCTTTCCCCCCCTCTCCAGTGAAACAACTGATTTTCCAAATACGAACAAGGGGGTATAAATAGAGGCTGTTTTCAGGCCTGCCCTTCATGCTGGGAAGCTGACAGAAAAGCCAGCAGAGTGGGTTTTTCAGACTGCACCAAATGAAACTAGAATAACTTGCCTAACCAAGAGTGCGAATCACTGACAAACCCTAGATAAAATGCAGTCTGCAAGGAACAACACAAGTTGTATCACTGATCTTTTCTGATCCAAAAGTCGAACCTTTAACCTCTTAAATGTTTTTGCTATCTTAAAATATCTCATACAATGCTATATTCCACCCTATTTTTAGCCAAGCAGCAAGAGAAAGCATGCCTTTCCCATACAGCAGGGAATGATATAAACATCAACACAGATGCTCTGCCAGGAAGAGCTGGACTTCTCAAGCACT